TGGGCGGAAGCTGACCAGTGGAGCCTGGAGCCCACCTGACATGGACAGCAGCCGCGGGCTGCAGGAACTGGACTCTGAAGTCGGGCGGGGCCATCCCGGTGGCGATCGGGGAGGAACAGGTCGGCAAGGATGTGTTCTTTCACGAGATGTGCCCATAGAGGAGAATGGTGTCCCCCTAAATGGTGGGGAGACCTACCTGCACCAGGTGCTGTCATGAGCCACCGCCTTGCGCCCTCAGGACAAGCCCACGGACTATGACAGTGTCACAGAGGCTCAGAGAGGCTCCCGGTCACGGAGCGGGTGAGCGGTAGTGTGAGGTGACGCCTGGGTGCTTTGGTGCCACACCTGCCTGGGCACCTGGCCTCTAAAGGTGTTGTCTCCGAGACACAGACAGCGCACGCCAGCACAGACGGCTCCCAGAGACGAGCGCCATCACGTTTTATTGCCTATTTACAAATTCCAATGTAGTGAAAATAATATTGAATGCGTAGCCATGGACTCAAATGCCTTTAGAGAAGAGAGGGGATTAAGAGGCAAGGGTGAACAGGGCTGGGTTGTTTAAAAGAAAAATGGTTGGCTTAGAAGGAAATCTCCTTAGCGGAGAGCGAGGGGGATCCGTGCTCCGGCGAGAGCGGGGTGTGCGGCTTTTGGAAAGCGCCGGTTTGGGACACACTAGTCAGAGACGGGTCTGCGGTCATTACGGATGGAGCCGCCACCAGCGCTCTGTGAACTTGTTATCGGAGTATTTTATAGTCCACCTGACCGAAAAGAACAACTGGACTGTGAAATGATAGAGCAGATAAAAAAAAGCCGTAAAAGAGCCAGAGCGATAGTAATGGGAGATTTTAAGTACCCAGGCACACAGCACAGTGCATTAAGTGGGTGAAATAAAGCCTGAAGTGGTGTGGAAGAGGCTTTGGGGATGGGGGGAGAGGCGGGCGGTGAGGAGGGGGGGTCTCGCCGCCCGAGGGGGCCGAGCACCCAGCAGGGGACACCCCGGACCCACGGCAGCAGCCCCCGCTCCCACAGGGGGCCGCCCGCGCGCTCGGCCTCTGCACCCAGGAATGTCTTTTGCATCCGGTTTTCAGCCCTCTCTGGAGGGTTCCCCTGTGGCCTCTGACGGGTCCCAATGCCCTCATCTGGGGATAGGACAGCTGGGGACTGGACGCCCAAGAAGATGGTCAGGACGGCCCCTCAGTTCTCCACGGGGTGGGCGGGGCGGCTGTGGACTGCCCCGTGTCGGCTCCCGCTGCCGGCCGGGCGCTGCGCGCAGGGTGAGGGTGCCCAGCACATCGCTGCAGCCAGCAGCCAGCGCAACCTCGGGGCTGAGACGTGTCCCAACTAAGGGCTACGGTCCCAGACCCTGCGCCCGCACTGCCTGGCCAGGGGGGACCCCGGAAACCCCACCGCCAGTCCGCCAGGGCCTGCCCGGCGAGCGGCCGGCATGTGGCAGAGAGGGCCTCTGGCCAGGGAAGGGCCACGGGCGTCTGCTCCTTCTCAGGGAGTTTGTGAGCCGGGCTGCCCAGCCCGGGTTGAGGCACAGCCACATTCGCAGTCCTGGGGGCGCCCAGCGGGGCCCCACGCGGCTGGCAGTGGGAAGGTCCAGAGGGCCTCGGCCGTGGGCCGAGCGCACAGCCCAGGAGGCGTGTGTCGGCGCTGAGTCACCAGACACCACATCCTGGCTCCCGGCCAAGAGGCGAAACGGGGCGTGGGGGGGGGGGGCGGGGCGGCAGCCCAGGGCCCGGACAGCACCAGGAGCACCGGCCATTGCAGGAGGCGGGTGCCTGGGGGGACCCCGCATCCCCAGGAGGGTGTGGGTGGGACCAGCCCCACTGGCTCAGCTGCCTCGGTCTCCGCGTTCTGGGCCTAGCACCCCAAACTCCCTCCTCATGGGCAGCAACGAAACCCTGGCCACCTATTACTTCAGCTACTTGTCCCGTGATCACACTTCCCGTTTTCAGATGTTAATAGTGGGCTCTGGAGGGGAGTTTTTTTCCTGAGCCCAATTGCAATGATATAAAATTAAATATCCAGGTGAGTGAGGGAAACTGGTCATTACTGTGCAGGCAGTGTGGAGGAAAGCCTCTCCTCCTGGGGAACGCCCCCAGCCCAGAGCAGCGAGGCCGAGGCAGCAGCCACCCCCCCCCCCCCCCCCCCGAGGCCGAGGCAGCAGCCACCCCCCCCTTCCCCAGGCGGGACCATCCAAGCGCAAGGCGCCTGCATCACTCTGAAGCGTCACCCTGGGCCATGTCCAGGTGAGCACCCGCCTCCCCAAGCTGCTTGGTCTGGGGAGGCGGGAGAAAGAGCAGTACCAGGATTTCCGTGGTGGGGGCCCACATCATGTGGGGTCATCCACTGTCCCCTCCTGCAGGGGCTCACCGCTCCCCTGAGAAGACCAACGTGGCTGAAATGGAGGCTGAGTGAGAGCGAGGGGAGGGTTTCGTCTCCATCAGGACAGTGTGGAAACCGCAGGGGAGCAGCTCCTGGAAGCTGCAGGCTGAAGTCCCAGCCCAAGGAGAGAGCTCCGAGCCGTGGAGGGGCCCTGGTCAGCCCAGCACCGTTCCGCGATGGGGTCCTTCATTCATGCAGGATTCCCCCAGCTCTGGTATGCACTGGCTGGGTACAGCGTTCTCTGTTCTGTTTCTTTTTGCAAGTGCCAGGCAATCACAGCCTCTGGGGGGGAGAGAGGGGAGAAAGAAGGATTCCAGTAAAACATCGGGAGCCGTGCTGGTGTGTGATAGACGCTCAGTGCTAACCGAGATGAGGGCGAGGACCACGGGGCGGTACCAGCAGGGGTCAGGCAGGACCTGGGAGCTGGCCAGATCCTGTAACAGAGAAGGTGGCAAACACACCATTAAACACGCTTTGCAGAGCCGAAGGGAGAGGAGCCAGAGAGAAGGAGCTGCGGGAGGTAGCGTCACCCAGCTAGGGCAGAGACCACTGAGAAAGTCAGGTGTGGATGCAGGGCAGGGACAGATACAGGTGCAGGGCAGGGATAGATACAGGTGCAGGGCAGGGACAGATACAGGTGCAGGGCAGGGACAGATACAGGTGCAGGCGCAGGGACAGGAAAGGGCACAGGCCTTCGTGCAGGGGCAGGTGCAGGTGGACATTTACACACACACGGTCCCTAGGCCGCTGGAGAAGAGCCTACAGCGCTGGAACTCAGACCCCGAAGTTGGGGCGCGCTACTGCAGCACGATGAGCCCTTCTGGGAACAGGCGTGGGGCGGGGGGAAGAAGCCCTAGAGCCCCTGGGAAAACTGGCTGAGGGCTGGCAGAGAAAGGAGCACCTCCCTCCTCCTCCGCCTTCCGGCCCTGTCGCCCTCTG